TTTTTTTCTCCCGGTGGCCCCCCTGTTTTATGATGATGACAATCGAATTTTTTTTTTTTTTTTTTTTGTTATTTTAATTGAGACAAATTATATTACAAGAGAAAAAAAGCATGTTATACAAGCAAAAAACCTGATTCGAACTGATTGATATGTATTATGGAACATAACAACAACAACAACAACATATTGTTCATTTTTTTATAAGATAAAAAGCTATACACATCATCATCATCATCAAATAAAACTCATCAAAAATTGATGATGATTCAATTATATAATTTCTGTGTTTATGTTTGTGTGTGTGTTTTTTCAATTATATATTTTTGTCGTTTATCATTATGTTCATTTAAGATTCATGAAATAAATAAATATCTTACCTATGTTTAGAATCGAAAATAATAATAAATGTCAGTTATAATCATAAATCAAATGTCATATGTCAGTAGATATTTTTTTTTTGATCATCATCATTTATTTGGAACTGAATTTGAATCTAAATCTAAATGAGTTTTTTTCTCTCTATGATGAAAGGATGTTTACATCATCATCACAGTCATTGATTGGGGAATGTAACTAGAATGAAAGAAAATAACAATATTAACATTATACAGGTGGTAAAACGAAATCTGATCTTTTTTTTATTGCCAAATTTGGGAAAAGATGCAAAAAAAAACAATACCGGATGTAAAAGCATAGATAGAGAGAGAAAGAGAGAGTTGGAGAATGTGCGAAAGAAAAACTAAAGGGCAATAAATAAGATGATGACCTTAAAGGTCAATCACACATTTCTTTCATATAGGTATTTTGATTCCAATATGTCTTTGATTTCATTTATTATTTGTTTGTTTTTTCTATCAAGGAAAAGAATTTCTATTCCATTCTATTGTTTTCATTGACAAAATCGGAATTGTAAGTGGGAGCATTTGTGTTATTTTTACAAACTAAAATGTTTTTCGTTAATAATGAATGAAAAATTTCTTACATGACAACAACAACGATGATGATGATGATGAAAATCCTTACAAATGTCATTGATGATACAACAATATTCCCAATAATGATACCGGTACGAATTTTTGATCCAAGATCAAAATAGAAATAAGAAATAAATCTCTAAAGCAAATATAGAACACTAATACAATCAAAATCAATATAAAAGCATTGACATTGTTAATAAGAAACAAATGTTGAATTATTTTTAATGTTTGTTTGTTTGTTTGTCTATTTGATTTGAGAGTATCAAAATCTCAAAATATTAAATATCATACGGTATTTATTCAATCATTTGAAACAACAAATAGTCATATGAATGACAATTGAAAATAATGAATTAGTAAATGAATGTAAGATAGATGATATAATGTGTAATCATCAAATTATTTTCTGAGCCAAATATCCATTCGAAAACTTTTATAAACATTATAAATTTTTAATTATTTCCAAATCATTATAATCATCCAAACACGCATTAATTATTTAATTATGAACGTCTGATTTTTTTTGTTGT